AAATTAACTAATTTTTCAACCATAAATTATACAGAAATGGTCCAAGTACTAAACCCTGTGGTACTCTTACATTAAGTTTTAAAAAAACTATGTTTAATTAATGAATTGGAATAATTAATCAATCAAAATATTTAAATTTGTATTTGAAAAATTGTTTTTCCTAAATTGGAACGAGAACTGATACACGTGGCACTTTGATTTTTTTTTCAAATTTATTTCCTTTACGTATTGAATAAATAATCTTACTAACAAATTATTTCAATATATACTAATTCCGATGGCCTTAATTTGGTTCAAAGAGTTAACCAAAATATTTCTGCCCATAAATATTTCTTGAAATATGTCTAAAACAAAAACAGAATTGCAAAAAAATGTACTCTGAAGCTGATCAAATATCAATTATCCAAATTACACTTGGACAATTTCCAAATTTCCATTCTGCGTGTTTTCACTAACCGATGCACGTTTACTTTGTTTTTGTCTAGTCGTTTTTTTTTATATATATTTTTACACTCTTCATTTTTTTGAGTGTTTAAAGTGGAATAAAGATAATATTTGTAAATCCGTTGAAACGTTTCGGTATTTCTGATCTCATCCAAAAAAATATTGGGGGGTGGGCGGCGATGAAATTAATTCAAGTCTTGGACAAAATATTTATACAAGAATGTATTTTAGAACGTTTCAATTCTACATCGTTTTATTAACTATATATTTCAAAAATACAACGGTTTTCAAGCTGAAAACATACATTTCTTTCTTAAATTGGACCAAGAATCAATCCTAGTAGGAAAACAACAATATCAGAATATTTTAACAAAAGTCTATAGCTTCTTGTTTTTTTTTTTTAATTTAGTGAGTGTTGAGAAAATTGGAAAGATCATAATGTATATTTCAACAAAAAAGTAGCACAAAGAAATAATTACACGAATTATTCTGCGAATTAATTTGAAAATTTCCATTGCAATCAAAAGATCTAGACTCTTTTCCTTTTATTTTCGTGACTAAACATTGTTTTACATGCAAATTCAATTGGTTTTCTAAAATCGCGACAAATATTGAAGTCGTACAAACCTGATGTTTCCATTCGACTGAAATCACTGCAGAGAAAAAAAAACACATATTTCGTTTTTATTATTATTTTTTTTTGGTTACATAATGATACCAAAAGTCAATAAGTCACACCGAAAATTTACAGAAGCCTTTGTTACTTTCCATCCTTCGTTCGTTTTTTTTGTACTTTGATATGTGATAAAACCTTTGTTAAAATCCTTTATCAATCTCGGAAATGTGTTTGATTACGTAATACCCATGTATGTAATGATTGAGTAATTGTAATGTCTCATGTAGTGATCATTATTTTAAATCAGTTTGCGGTTAAAAAAGAGTGTTATTATATTGTATTAATCATAAATAGTTTGCATAACTTCTATAATTTGTAATGACAGTTACTGATGACAGCTAAAATAGGATGGGATGTTTTAGACGAGGTTAGATTAAGACAGTGACAGTTACTGATGACAGCTAAAATAGGTTGGGTTACGTTAGTCGAGGTTAGATTAAGACAGTGACAGTTACTGATGACAGCTAAAATAGGTTGGGTTACGTTAGAGAGGTTAGATTAAGACAGTGACAGTTACTGTTGACAGTTAAATAGGTTGGGTTACGTTAGACGAGGTTAGATTAAAACAGTGCAGTTACTGTTGACAATTAAAGTAGGTTGGGTTACGTTAGATGAGGTTAGATTAAGACAGTGACAGTTACTGTTGACAGCTAAAATAGGTTGGGTTATATAAGACGAGGTTAGCTTAAGACAGTGTCAATTATTTATGGCAAATGACATATGTCAATATTAATGGCCAATTGAAAGTAAAACTTATAAAGAAATGCGTATACAACTGAACTGAAGAAAGAACTGTGTAAAAGGCGCAGTGTCCTTGCATGCGACATTAAGTTAAGGAAATAATAAGGAAATTAACGAGCGTACAGGATCTGCATGTAATAATAATATAATACGTAATTTGTTTCCTTCTGTTTCGTTTTCGTTTTTCTTCTTCATTTGCAAACGGAGTCACGGAATGTGACTAAATAAGAGAAAAAAAAGAAAGAGTGTGCGGTTCGTACATGGGGATTAGCACGTCGGTAAAGGAACGGAATTGCGGTATAAATGTCTGTTATGGATTTATGCAGACGGATGAGTCACATGTGAATTGTCGAGAAGAACTGTTACGCGATTTCCGTCACGTTTTCGAATGAAATTACTACTTTTATTACCGCGAAACTGGATTCGAGAAGCTTTTTCCATTATTTTCTATATACATATATATATATATTTTTACTTAATCGTAAATATTTTCGTAACGTAAATATTTGCACTTGTAATTCATCTACGTGATTTTTGCGGCGTGTTACGGCATATCTGGATGCTGTTCAAACACGTAAACACGTTACTATTTCGGTAGATTCGACTGCGGTTTTTATTTAAAACGATTTGGAGAGGTCAGTGTTATTTCAATTATCTTCAATATTAAGTAGTTAAATATACGATAAAACTACAGTTAACATTTATTATATAATTTGTAACGTATACATAATTACATGTAATCTTAATGATCTTCATTATAATATAATTGTTCATGTTATAAAAGAACAGTTAACTAATTCTCATTAAATTTTAATTGTATCAATTTTTTTGTAATGGCAGATTGGAGATACAAATTGTAATATCCAAAATCGATATACTTTCTCCGATTATAATTTGTTTTTTCCTTGAGAAGAAAGTTTTTTTATTGTTTTCGTTCCATTTTACAATTTAATAGACTTTAATAATCATAAATTGATGATTTTTATTGTATCCCAAGGCTAGTTTGAGTTTCAATTTTTAAATTCTAAAATGATGAAAACACATTAGGAATTGCATTAGATTTATTTTATCATTATATAATAATTGTGTTAGGTTTGTTTACGTTCATTTAAGTAAATATGTTAGAGATTAAATGATATGTTAAGGTCAAGTGGATAGTTAGATATATTTTCGTATAGATTGCCCAAGTTTGGTTACAAAACGTCAAATAATAAGTTAGGTTAGGTTGATTTTGGTTTAGGTTATGTTATCAAACGATAAAAATATGATTATAATTAATAAGTTAGGTTAGGTTGACCTTGATTAAGGTTAGGATTGGTTAGGTTACAATGAACAAATAAATAATACTACTACTAAAATATGGTATTAGAAATAGTTGACTTTATGAGCATATGAAAAGATTTGATTTAGAGGTAATTGAATTATGTTGATCAAAAGTCAATAATTCAGCAAGAAACATATGACATTAGTTGGCTCAGGTAGTTTTTTCTAATTGATCAGTTGAGTGTCAATGATGTAAATGTCAAGGATGAAACTACAAAAAGATTGAAAATAGTAGAATAAGTTAACTAATTCTCATTAAATTTTAATTGTATCAATTTTTTTTTTGTAATGACAGATACAAATTGTAATATCCAAAATCGATATACTTTCTCTGGTTTTAATTTGTTTTTTTTCCTTAAGAAGAAAGTTTTTTTATTGTTTTTCGTTCCATTTTACAATTTAATTGACTTTAATAATCATAAATTGATGATTTTTATTGTATCCCAAGGCTAGTTTGTGTTTCAATTTTTAAATTTTAAAATGATGAAAACATATTAAGAATTGCATTAGATTTATTTTATCATTATATAATAATTGTATTAGGTTTGTTTACGTTCATTTAGGTAAATATGTTAGAGATTAAATGATATGTTAAGGTCAACTGGATAGTTAGATATATTTTCGTATAGATTGCCTAAGTTTGGTTACAAAACGTCAAATAATAAGTTAGGTTAGGTTGATTTTGGTTTAGGTTAGGTTATCAAACGATAAAAATATGATTATAATTAATAAGTTAGGTTAGGTTGACCTTGGTTAAGGTTAGGATTGGTTAGGTTACAATGAACAAATAAATAATACTACTACTAAAATATGGTATTAGAAATAGTTGACTTTATGAACATATGAAAACATTTGATTTGATTTAGAGATAAATGAATTATGTTGATCAACAGTCAATGATTCAGCAAGAAACAATATGACATTAGTTGGCTCAGGTAGTTTTTTCTAATTAATCAGTTGAGTGTCAATGATGAAACTACAAAAAAATTGAAAATAGTAGAATAAAATGAAATTAATTAATTTGATCAGCAGTCAATGATTCAGAAAAGAACATATGACAATAGTTGGATCAGAGGTAGTTTTTTTTAATTGATCAGCTGTCATTGTTAGTATAATGTACAAATGCAAATAGTTGGCTTAGAGGTAGTTATACAATTATGTTGATCAGCTGATTGTCAATGATGGTAAATATGAAAATACTCGATTGTCAATATTTTTATGTTGTCTCGACGATGGTCATTTGTTTGTATGGTTTGGATGATTGTAGTAAAGTGTTAATGAATGACCGTAAAATGCAAATCTACCCCTAAAAACGAAACTCATTCCCATCAATCATATGGTCACGAGTCAATGAAATTGCGAATCCGGCCCTGATCACGCCTACGACACGAGCGCGCTCCACGCATTCCAACAACGTTCACCAGATGGCGAGACCACAAAACAAATTTGAATTTTGCGCAAAATGGGTGGGAAAAAAGTTCAGAAAAACCACATTCACTTATTTACAAAATAACTCTGCGATTAATGAAACAAACGAGAAAGGTGTGGATTTTGTGTGTTCTATATAAAAAAATGTTTTGTTCGACAATTTGATTGTAAGTTAATTGAAAATTTTGTTATTAAAAGCGTTGCAAGGTCGCTGCGTGCGTTGCTAAGCGATGATCGCCCGGTTTTTTTTTTGTATCCTGGATGAAATGCATCCGTCCTGTGGACGAAGGTGGATGGGAAATGGGCGTTATACGTGATGATGCAGACACAAGGTGGATTGATTTTCGTTTGATGATGGTTGCTGATGTTGTTGATGATGATGACTTACATTCATCTGACTTCAAAGGGGCTTCGTCTGGTACGATCTCATCTGGAGTCGTCGTTTCCGTTTCGGTTTTTCGGAAACGTCTTCGTCGTGGTCGTCGTCGTGGACGGCTCGACTCAACGGCGTCGACGTCTGACTGAAACTGAATGAATTCGATCCATTCTGACGAAAGCAGCAGAACTTAATGCACACAAACAGTCGCGTCACTTTGTTGGTTTCGATTATTTCCTATAGGAGGGGCCTTCGCCGCCACCGCCGCCCCCGACCTGCACACGGGATGCACTTTTCCTCTCGTTTCCTCTAACCCTTCTGAACCGCCCTCAGTGTCCTAGGCTAACTAACTGAGAGCGCGAGGGGACGGAAACGGAAGCAATAGTAGCAGCAGCGTCGGCGTCGTCGTCTCTAATCGACGTCCGCACCAGACGGGAGGACGAAAAGAACGAAAACTGCAAATCGTCTGATTCTGATGGGGAAGGGCGCAGGGTTTAATCTCCTTCTATCTCTATCTCTCCTTACCACATCCCTTTGCATCCATCCTCGTCGCACCACAGACGCGCAGCGGAGGAATGTGTGTTTTGCCGTGTTGTATCGGGATTGATTTTTCCAACCCCCCAAAAGCGAACTGAAGCTCTCGGCGTGCGTGACGTCACCTGGGGTCGTCTAAGTTCATTCGGAGATTGAACTCGGACAACACGGAACGCGTTGTTGTAGACTGCCTTCTCAGTCGGAGGAAGAGACAGCGGCCCTTCTCCGCCCTTGGGTTATCAACTTCTCTCTGTTTGGACTTCGAAACGTCGCAGTCCAAAGACCAATAAGGCATCCTAACAAACTCCGCGTTGCGGTTACAAACTCTCCATAATCTATCATCTTCATTGTAGACATGCCATGCATCCATTAGAACTTTTAATGAAACACCGATCTGCTAAAGAGAATCTGAAACTTTCACACATCGAAATAAGAAACCCTATAATTTCAATTTAAATATTTGTCTTCTACAAAACTATTGATCAGCATTAAACTATAATAGTAGTCATTGATGTAAATACTTGACGCAACTAGTTCTGAGCTTTGAAACTTCTCAGTTGAAACGATTCTAAACTTCTGGTTTTACTACGTTCCATGTGATCTTCATTGCAAACCTATAAAGAAACTTTGAACTTCATATCTAAAGCAACTAGTATTGAGCACGAGTATCTAAATATTAGGTTAGATAATGTTAGGTTTGATTAGGTAACCTCATTTCTACATAATAAATAAAATTTACCTAAATCAAAATATATTAAATTTTTCATTTATACTTAACCTTTTTCCTGGATTTCGTGACCCTCTGAATCTGCTACCTTTCAACCTCAAAAACAACAATCTCCATAGCAACCTAAGTAAATACTCGATGAACGTGACTGAAGCCATTTGTTTGCTATAGTTAGTATTCAAGACTAGTTTTCTTGCGGATTCGTATTGTGATACAAGAGACGACATGCAAATCAAATGAACTAATTATCCATTAGAAAACGTAAATAAATTCAATTTTATTGCGTACTAAATCGAATTATGTCCAACAAGCTCAAATTGGAAACAATTGAAAACAATGTATGAATTATCTATAGATATTTTAATATTTTGTACATGTTTGGATTAATTATGTAAATTTGATAAAATTAAATCTGTCAAAATCTTATAAGATTGTCTTGATATAGTATACAAATTCAAAACTAGTTTTATTAAAATGACATAAAAATTGACGATGACAAATAAAAGTGACAGTTGACAAAATAATAATGAAGGTTATAAAATATGAAATATTTATCACACATGAGAAATTTGTACGGTTAATCCTGAATAATTGGAAACAATTGAATACAATGTATGAATTATCTATAGATATTTTAATATTTTGTACTTGTTGGATTAATTATGTAAATTTGATAAAATTAAATCTGTCAAAATCTTATAAGATTGTCTTGATATAGTATACAAATTCAAAACTAGTTTTATTAAAATGACATAAAAATTGACGATGACAAAAAAAAGTGACAATTGACAAAATAATAATGAAGGTTATAAAATATGAAATATTTATCATATATGAGAAATTTGTAAGGTTAATCCTGAATAAGTAAAGTTACCTAATACAATATTTAAATAAACCGTTAAATTCCCAACAAAGGAATGCACAATGTGAGACGTACTGAAGTATTGAATTATGTCTGCTCTTCGTACATCCTTGTATAAATACAAAATTGAGAAAAGAAAAACGACAATTCGTAAGAGTATTTGCGGAGTCTGGAATTTTTAATATGCGACGGCTAGATGGGAATCAGCGAATAATGATGGAAAGCAAAACAATCTGCAGACAAAAATAAAGCACGGTCCGACGTCGAGAAGGGTGAGGAAAAGGGAGGTTCTGCGAATTCCGCACGAAATTGCCTTCTCGCGCGAATTTTCGTCTTTACGGTCTTCACATTTATTTTTGTTATACGTGCACCGCCACCCCTTGTTCGTGTCCAATCTCCACCCCAGCTCTTCATTTTTATCGCTTAATTAATGCAACCCTTGTGTTTTTATTCCCTTTGCACCTTTAACTACCGCAGTTATTCTGTCTGCTCAATATTTAATTTCTTCTAAACGAATATTAACATATTCATTTTTATAAGACCTAGAATGATAACTTGAGGAATCTTGTAATAATCCCAATATACAACACGTTAATATCAAACTATAAATATATAAGACCGAGAATTGAGCCTTGAAGAATCTCCCAACTATGAATCAATCCTCCATCAACTAATTTTATTTCATTCTTAATATTACTCTAGTTATTTTTCTTTTCATAATATTTATTATTTCCATGGAAACGTGCTGTGCGTTTCGCAAAAAGGAAACTCGACTCTCGTTTCGCTCATTTTCAAAGCTTATTTATAGACGTGACATGCACTGCACATCGCTCTGTAAATAATTTACTTAGTACTTATAGCTTTTAGAGTAATTACTTTACGTACATCGCGTTTCAGCTTTTAAGACACTCTTCTACACCCATTTTCTGCTTATAATATACAATAATGTTCAAGGGTGTACAATAAACTGTAATTATACCTAACAAATTTATTACTTACATTAAAGTTACCTCAAATTATACATTATCTACTTAACCTAACAGTTGACAGTTACTTAAAGGTATCTATAAAGTTATACAAAAAAAAATGACGTTTACGAAAATTGACAGTTGACAAAAATATTAATTAAGGTTATAATGTGATAATTAAAAGTACTAAGTACAAAAAAAATGACGTTTACGAAAATTGACAGTTGACAAAAATATTAATTAAGGTTATAATGTGATAATTAAAAGTACTAAGTACAAATAAAAATGACGTTTACGAAAATTGACAGTTGACAAAAATATTAATTAAGGTTATAATGTGATAATTAAAAGTAGTAAGTACAAATAAAAATGACGTTTACGAAAATTGACAGTTGATAAACATATTAATTAAGGTTATAACGTGATAATTAAGAGTATTAAGTACAAATAAAAATGACGTTTATGAAAATTGACAGTTGACAAAATAATAATATACAATTTTTTAGCGTATTTCCATATGTATTATATTTTGACATTTTAATATGGAAATAAAAGTTTTAGTTAACAACAATTATAAAATAATTTAAATATTTGATGTTTACGAAAGTTGACAGATTAAGACAGATTATAATATAATAGTTGAAAACTGAACAAAACTAAAAACAAATTAAAGTATTTTGTAACATAAAAAAATAATGTTTACTAGTCAATTAAAATTTGCAGCGTTGAATTCAAAACCAAGATCAACGCTTACTTGACGAAAAAATAAAAACCGTGAGAAAATGAGGTTTTTGCAAGCACCGTAATAATTTGATATCAAAATAATAGACTTTTTACCTCATTGTAAGTATTTACTCATAAATTATACTATTCTTCAGATTAAAAGATTAGTTTTTGAACAAGATATTGGGTATTTTCATTTTGTATAAAAACAAATAGTATAAATAATTACTTATATAAATTATTTACTCATTACTTCTACTATTGTTATAAACTACATTTTATAAGCTTGTACTAAAGCCGAATTTTATAAAATGTTGGGTATTTACACTGAAATGTTAAAGCATAGACAAAAACAATTTGACGTATGTGAACGGTAGGTCATTCGCAATCTTTTGTTTTCCTCGTCGCTAAGCGAGGACAAACATTTGAAATATCTGTTGACTCCGTGGATCACCAGTTGACATTGGTGGAATTGTAAGCGGTTTTCCACTTCTTCTTCGTCTTCTTCTCACCTGTCACTTCCGGTTCTTTTTGTTGTTGTCGTCGTGTGCATATGCAATTTGATCCTGTTCAGTTCACGGTTGAATTCTGACCTGCTCCACTCGACCTCAGTAGCGAGCACCTTGCTTGTCCCATTAATATTTCAATTTAATCCATATCCATGTTCATATATTAAAGAATTTAATTACAATTTCAACAGCTTATAACAATAAAATGAGAAATACCACAAGTTTAAGGAAGGGCTCATTGGAAAGGCCAAAGTTTTTTCTTTAATTTGCATATTCGATTATCAAATTCACCTGCGTGGTTACTGAGTAATTAAATAAAACGTAAACTCATGTAAAAAAAATATTGTTATATTTCAGTTAATAATTAACTATACATAATAATGATTGTATCAAATTAAAATACTCATTGATGTCTGAAGAAGATTCCATTGAACTTTTTGTAATTATTTCGACATGATTTCGGAGTGTTCATTGTGTGCGTTTGGAGTGGACAAGCTGTGAGATTCGTATCGCTAAAAATAGATGCATCCTGCATGCATGCACGCAAATTGAGGAACGTAACGAGAAGATAATGGGTGGCCTCTCTCGCGTCTACAGAGTAAATAACCCGTGGAGATGAGGCCCAATGGGCAACGCAACGATCCAACCAAAACTTCTTGATCGGATGAGGTCAATCTCCTAATACAAAAAAATTACTTTCTTCAAAATTATTTACCTAATTTTATCAATCCAGAAAGTAAAAGTTGAAGAATGACATTAAAACTATAGAGTTTTAATAATAACCTTGTAATTATGTGCATATATTTACAATATTTTATTACATTATTTTTTGTCAGTGCATAACTATTTTTTTTATATAATTTATGATTTCCTGCCAAGTTAATCAATTCTTGTAAAATAAAGTTCAAAGTTTATTTTATTTCAGTTGAGATTTACAATGTAATTAATGTTAAAGTTTATGTAATCAGCTTAATCTTGAGATTTGTTGACAATTAATGAAATTAAATAGATCTAGAAAGTTACGTTTCTTAAGTCCATTTGGTTGATAACTTTTGTCAATAAATTGAAATGTCAACAATAGTTTTGTTGATGTTTTTCAATGTTTTATTCTTTCTGGGTTTGCTTATTCCGTTAGATCTGGTTGTAATAATAAGATATAAGTGTTGTTTTATTAATTAGGATTGAATTTCGTTAAATATGTGGCTTTAATACAAGCTTATTAAAAGTTTATAATTGCAGTGATTAATCTTCATTTAAATATTTAAATTTTTAATTAAGTATTGCCAACGATCAGCGTTCCAAGCTGTTGGTCATCCTGCACAAACATAACCTATAATCACGTGGATTTGAAACTGGTGTGTGTGTATTGCTGAAAAAAACGGAAACAACAAATGGTTTTTCAGGAATTATGAGTTGAGATCGATCTGAAAGTGCTGCAGTGAACTTCGTTCGTGGCCAATTGGCTTCGTTGCATCAGGAAAATGGAGGAGCCCAAAAAGAAGAAGAAATCGAAGAAGAGCGACAAAAAGAAGCGAAACGTGGGTACACCATAATTAGTTCACATCATTTTATTTAATGAAAATTGCACAATTCCAATGATAATACCACACCATTAAGTTCTCAGTTTAGTCGAGACCCAAAGTCAATTGCTAAATTACACCCTTGCAGCCAATTGGTAATTTTTGTAAATAAATACTAAACTGTGGAATGTTTGCTTTTAGGATTCAGATGTGGAGGTAAAGGTGAAGGATGAAGAAGTTTCCATGATACAGACGGAAGAAGCTGGACTTAACAATAATGATACACACAAGAAGACGGGGAAGAGAAAAAGTAAACACATTGAATGTCCAGTGAATGAGAAGAGGATTAAAGTTGAGGAGACGAGTGAGATTGAAGATGAGGATGCGCCGGATTGCAGTTACAAAGGCGAGGAGGATGTCCGGATAGCAGCTGAAGGATGGGAGAATGTTGATGTTAATGATTTGTTTGATTTTGATCAGGAGCTCTCATCGGATGATGAGGTTTATTATTTGAGGGTTTCGGAAAAGTTGGATCCGCTTTCGCTGGTCGGTCGGAAACTTGCGTTTAAGGAAAACAAATCGTTGGATATTGACGGTGATGAGTTTAAAGTTAATTTCGATGGAAACAATGCGCCGAAACTGAATTTGTTCGCGCAGAAATCGGGCGGTTTGGATGTGCGGCATGTTCAGACGTCCGGTTGTTTTACGATTAATCCGGAGACGGAGCTCGAGGACGTTAAGTGTTTTGTATCCAAGCAGAAAGCGAGCACGGTACCTGAGTTCCCAAACAGTTTGCTGAAGCAGAGGCATCCTCTGTTCGGTATACAGTATGAAGAGAAAATTAATCTTGATAAAGACATCGTTTCGAAACTGGAAGCTTCCAAGTCTGCCCCGAAGTCATCCAGCAAGAAGAAGTCGAAAAAGAACAAATCGGTGTGCAACGAGGACATTTTTACCATGCTATCCCATCACAAGAGTTAAGAATTTGTGGAAGACTTGAAGTGTCTTGTTTATTTGGAAGTTTTTTTTCTTTTCTTTATCCTTCGTTTTTAATGTACATTTGAATATACCGATGTAATTTTAAGCCAAGGAAGGCGTAATTTTAAGATAATTAAATTTATATATAAAACAATTTTATTTTAATCTTATTTTATTTATATTTCTTATTGCAGTTTTCGTTAAAAATCAAATATACATTGAGGAAACAAAACATGAAATCAAAGTTGCTTGAATCTTATGTAACTTAGTTACCAAAACAAAATCATGTTGTTGTTATTGTGTCATAAGCAGTTTCAAGATTTCTACCTCACTGTATCAATTAGAAATGATTGTAAATACACTTTAATTACGTAATTTTGAGTAAGTTTTCTTTAATTACTTTCAATTTAAATCTAGTCTAAAATTGCAATTTTTAATTATTGTTTCTCAGCCCTACGCATTTCGTTTAAAGATGATATGTGTATTGCCTATGATAAATCTCCATTTTGATTTTAATTCATTGCACACTTATTTCATAACAATTTCCACTTATATAATGAAAATTTTATAAATAATTTTGAATTGTTTCATTTAAAGTAATTATCTCCATACATTTATTAGTTTCAATTGGATATACCTGATATCAAAACTCTTTTGAAGGCTTGGATAATTTAAAAAGGTGACATGTGTGTTGCCTATAATAAAATGTAATCTTTTTTTTAAATTCAATTATTTTAAATAAATTTAATATATTTTTGTACAGTTTAAAAATTATGTCGTTCACTTGGATTCATTTGTATTATTAATTAATGAATTTTTGGCATATGCGTCTCTTATTTCGCTTGAACGTACTCGATGTTCATACGTACGTACAATTTGAAGTGCGAATTGTTGTTATATATTTTATACATATTTGTAACCGGTGGCAATCGCAAGCCCGACATGTATCGAAATACCATAATCCCATCAATTAAAATCCCGACTATATTGAAATCTAAAACAGTGTCTTTTATTATTATAAATTTCTACAATAACATTTTTATGGTAGTCGGGATTTCGATATATTCGGGATTTCGATATAGTTGGGATTTTGATTGTCGGGATTATGGTAGTCGGGATTTTGACATAGTCGGCATTTTAGTACAGCCGGGATTTCGATACACTCGGGATTTTAATAGACGGTCTTTCGGTTGTCGGGCTTGCGATATAGACCCATTTGTAACAATATCAACAAGGATGTTGCATTTTTCAATATCAATAAAAGATTTATTTTTCATTTGCTACGATTTTATTATAAAAAAAATAACTCCACAGCCAAAACTGAATTAAATAATTACAAAATAAACTTATCCACTTCATTCAACCATGCTATTCATATAGATATATAGAGAGAGTTACGTATTATGAAATGCCCACACAAAATAATAATATTACAACAATAAGAACGAAAGGAAAATAACACAACATCAACAAAAAAAAAGAAAAGAAATGAAAGTAATTACTTTGGTGAACGTAACGTCGTGAGGTTCATACAAAAAAAAAACAATATTCAAACTATTCTAACGACCTAATCTATTAATACTAAAGTCGAAAATTGAATTATTTACACAGAGACAACAACAACAATGTGGATTTGAAGATTCACATCTCATCCCTTCTTGAACTTGAGCAGAAGGATACTGAGTATGAGGAAGAAGAAGATCCAGGCGCTAATGCTGATGAAGCCCGTGTAAACCTCCCTGTAGTCTATGGTCCAGCCTTTGGCCAAGATGTACCTGAGACTCTCCGTGCATTTGGTGAGAGGAAGGACATAGGCTATAGTCTGAAGGCTGTAGTGCATGCCTTCGATTGGCCAGATGATGCCGCACAGCATGACTATGGGAAGGAAGCTACCAAGAGATAGGTACGTGGCAGTCCTCTCGTTGTCGCAGATGGTTGCGACGACGAAGCCGAAGCACATGCCGCAAAGACCTGTGAGGCCGGTCATGATGACGGTGAGAGAAGCTGGACCCTTCATGGTGATGTCGAAGACGGCGAATGTTACGACTACAACCATGATGGTTTGACCTGCCATCACCGTGAACTGGGTCACTACGTGGGCGAAGAGCAGCTCGACGCTGGTGATGCCGTTAACTAGGGATCTTTCCAGAATACCCTCGTTCCTCTCCAGAAGCATAGCGCCGCAGGTTAAAGCTACAGACAAGAAGAACACAATGGTGATGATAACGCCAGGAGCTGCAAAGTCCGTAAAGTTTGGCCTCTTGTAGCCGTAGATAGGCTCGTTGAATCTGATGGGAATAGAACCGATCTTATCGTTGATATCGCATGAGGTCAAATATGCCCTGAAGAAGTCTTCGAAGCTGAAGTATAAATCACGTTTCAAAAACGTTCCAATATTTTCATCTGAAAGAAAAATAGATTCATTATTTATTATAGGATGTATAACATAGTTACAATAAGGAAAGAGTTCATAAATCTTATTATATCAATTATGTTTTCAGGAGTATATGAATTGCTTACTTGAAATGTCCTGAAAGACGGAAACTTCAGAATTCAAAACATCTTCGGGTGAAACTCTTCTGCCTTCGAATATCCTGGATCTCAAGGAATCAGAGAAGTTTGACTGGAAGACGAGAGCAGCCCATGAGTTACCTTCTTCAACAAGTTTCTTTGCTGCATCGACAGAATCACAGTACGTCTAAAAATGTACAATAACAGTTAAAAACAGTGCATTTTATAATTATTATCTTTAACTTACCACTTGCAACGTTCGATCTTCTAGGTATTTGAGGAAGTTACAACTGAGTCGCGTGCTGCTGCAGGTGATGTTGGTCATGCAGATTTCGCCTTCTTCAAGTTCGTAGTTCATAACGGATATTGGCAAGTTTTGTGGGTCGTGGCCGATGGATAAGCAGAAGAGTACAGTTTGGACTACTGGTAGAACGGTGATGAACAACATGACAGGGTAATTCCTCCACATCCAGAGGAAGTTCTTCCAGATTAAAGTCTTCAGATGGCTGGCTTTGGCGAATTTCAGGTAATCCATGCACGTCCATTTGTCGCCTTCCTCTGGGGGTGGGATTTCAGGTGGTGCGTTCTCAGGGTCATCTGGGGCTATCGATATCCTTCCTCCACGCGAAGACATCGATACGTTATCTCCGAATTCTCCTGAGATCTCACCAGGTTCATCATCCACGACTATGGCCTCGTTGATCACGCCGCTCGGTACTGTGATAGTTGTTGTCACCTCCAAAGCAATGGAGCTACGCCTGGTCTTTCCCATATTCTGTATCACAGATAGTTTGAGGAAAACATCTTCCAACGATTGAGCATGGTAATGTTGGACAAGACGTTCGGGCGATTCTTCGGCCAACAAATAACCACCACGCATCAATCCAATCTAAAATAAGAACCAAATTATAATAGAATTCACAAGTTACTTTACAAGTTTCGAGTTGAATGGATTATTTTATTTCAATTAAATGACTCTCTATGTGGAACGATTGAAATAATATCCTGAATTCACTTCTAATCTAGAAAGTGTTATTCATTGCATTGTGTTTTAATTGAAAGTTTCCAAATCCATTTACTATTGCAAACAATAATACCAAATAGGAAGTAAACTGTTTCATTGAAAAAGGAAAAATCAAATGCAAATTACTTTGTTATTGAAGCTACGAGAATTTTCTCCATTATTATAAAATTATCAATTAAACGTTGATACATCCAATTAATTCGAACGTAATTTTCATTTTCATTCATTATATGAAATTTCAAGCAAAGTTTAGAAAATTTAAGAAAACAATTCACAAAGAAAATAATTATAAAACGTAGTAACAAGAGAAGTTATATAAACAAGTGTACAATTCTACGAATCTAAATGACTTATGAACTTTGGTCTTAAACCCAAATAAGACTTATTACCTAACGCACGTTCTTAAATATGTATAATTTTGTGCAATCATTTAAAAGTTTTAAAGCTATTCTTCCGTGTTTCAGCAATAAATCAGAATGCAATTAAATTGCAGTGGGTTACGTTCGATGATAAATCATTTTGTGCGAAACGTCTTTCCAATTTTTTTTTAAAGCGTCATATGATAATTGAGAATCTAAGGACATCGGGCAGCCAAAGGTTAATGAGTCTATAAATACTAGTGCAAATCATGAGTTTCAGCGAATTACATAAAAATTGGTTACAAGCGCACGTGTCGAGTGTCTTATTTTTTATATAATTCTAGTCTATAAATAAATCGCTAATTGCATTGAAAATTATTCGGATTGTTAAGTGATACAAAGAGGGTAATGATCCATCAAACGTGAAATTGCTGCGAATTACACAAATCGGTTTTTTATGTACTACATTTTACACACTTTTTTTAATGCATTTCTGTGGTTTTATTTCCAATATCATTCATTTTTATGACTTAAATGTGATAAGTTATAATCATATAATCGAATTCCACTATAAATTTTCCATGGTAAAATGTCATAGATGTTGATTTTTTTATAAGTAATAATGTGTACGCAAATGTTCGGATTTTTTCCTTTACGTAACTGATTATACAATAGAAATGAGCAAGAAGTGCACACAATTAGTTAAACTATAAACTTCAATTAGTCAATAACAGTAGAATATGTTGTTTACTGTAGGCTAATATGTAGGCTTTAGTATTGACGACTGATTCATCATTCAATGTTTGCTAAATGTATTTATAGTTTTCTGTGAAATTTACTTTTTATTAATTATAGGACCTAGTACAATGTACTGTGGAACTCCTATATTTGCATCTCCTAGATGTATTTGACATAACAGTTTTCTATAATGAAGTGAACATTGTCATAGTTATTAGACAAGTACAAAATTTAGAATTATTTTTGTAATATTTTAACTAGTAAAATCTGATTATGTGGAAATTTATGTTAAATAATAGAATATGTATGTACTTTAAATACGCATGAGGTAAAAACCCAATTTTCTTTTAATATAAACAATGGTCTTTGTTTGTGACAGGTTCGAGTGCGTGACTCAAAGATGTTTCCCAACTTACCATGTGGGCTTGCCGTGTCTCGTCGATGTAGTGCGTAGTAATAATGACCGTCGTTCTTCCGCCTTTGGTAATATGCAACAAATGATCCCAAATATTCTGCCTCAACATCGGATCAACGCCAACAGTCGGTTCATCAAGAATCAGCAGTTCCGGCTCATGAAGCAGAGCCGCAGACAAAGACACCCTTCGTTGCTGACCACCACTGAGGGTCTTCACCTGCCTATCAGGACCAGGCAACATGAGGAATTGCAGCAAGAAGGTCAACCTCTCGTCGATCTCCTGCGTGGTCATATCGCTGATCCATCCGAAGTACAGCATCGTTTCCCTGATGGTGAACTCGCCGTAAAGCGCAATTTCTTGAGGCATATACCCGATCCTTGGACCAGGAACTCCACTACCCTTCGAGCCAGGAGTTCCACCCAATACCCAGATTTCACCTGAGTTCAAGCGTTTCCTTCCGACGATGCAGCTGAGTAAAGTGGTCTTTCCGCATCCGGAAGCTCCAAGTAAGCCGTAAATTGAGCCTTTAGGTACTGTCATGTTTAGACCGTCGAGGATCACGGCTGGATTCTTTGTAGATCCGTAATGTTTGTGAGCTCTTCGGACACATACCGCGTGCTGTTTTCTGCTAGCCAATGTCGACATCTGTCGATTGGCCAGCTGCCGTCGTCGCATCTCCAAATCATTAGAAACACCTCCCTCTGCCATTTTTCAGCCTGAAAACAATACAAACATGACATTACTTAATGATGACAGATACAAATTTTGATATTTCAGCCATCAAAATTTTAATATAACATTTTAATAAAGTAGTAGTTGTCATATACAAAGTGCAAAGTGTATACAAAGTAGCAGTAGTAACATATCTAATTAGTACTAGTATTAAAACATTCAAAAACGTAGGTTGATATAACTCCAAAAATATTGTTTTAGTACTGCTTCTATCAATAAGACATGTGAATACACTTGGTTCTCTTTTTATGCGGTAGATACGTTCTACAGGAAAACGCATAAAAATAAATCGCACAAAAAAGGACTAGACACACGTATAAAAATAAAGGATACGTTCCATATTTTTTTAAAACCGCATAAAACTAAATCAATGAGTTACAATATACCGAAAATCGCATAAAAAAGGAATTATTAAATTTCAGAAAAATAATTAGTCTTACTATATTCTTTCTGAAATATTTATTCATAATTTTATAAGAACGTTAACAATCATAGACAAGTTTATTAAATTTCAGCAAAATATAATCTTAACATATTCCTTCTAAATTTATACGGAAAAATTTTACAAAAAAAAAATACAGAAAATTTTTATGAAAGTTAAACTTTCTTCACATTTTTTTCTTTAGAATTATCGTCGCTATATGAGAGTGTTCGGCATAATTTTGCGAACTAGTTTGAAATCATTTTCATCACTAGAAGAGATAGTCAGCATATCAGATCTATGTCCTGAAGATAATGATTCTTCGCAAGTAAAATTAGTGTCAAAATGGCCTAAAATAGTTATTTAAAAAAAATGTTTTTTGAAATAAAAACCGCATAACTTCAAAACCGCATAAAAAGAGTACGCATAGTGTATTTCAAATACGTAGGTTGGTAGTGCTTCAAATGTAGTTCAGATGTAGACCAAAAGTTGGCATTGTTCCAAAAAGTGGTAATATATAAATCAAGGTTACAACCATTAAAAACTAAATTCTATTACCTAATAATTAAGAGATTCAGAGTTTTAAAATTAGAATGGACTTCACGATCATTACATATTTACTTTTAACAACAACAATCTCGTAATTACTCAATTATGTGACAATTAATAGGTTTTCCTCTGAAAACGTCAAATACGATGAGTCAATTCGCACATATGTAAAAATCGATTTTTAGAAATATCAAGTTATTTTTGCATACAACTTGCATAATTCTTGCAATCGAAATGCAAAGCACGAGATTTCCTTAAATCCTTCAGAGAGACAAGTGCATTCCGATGTAAATTTAATTAGCGTCGCATCTAAACGCTGAACACAGCTTAGAACTGACGGATGAACCTTCAAACCATAAAATAAACAAAAGATTTTTATCATCATTTAATTAAATTTAAACGCAATTGTTTTGTAATAACAAAAATAAATTGTTATTAATTTGTTAATTACAGTTTATTAAAAATGTTATGGCTGTAAAAATTATTTGCATTTAAATTTAACTTCATTCATACAAATTAAGTAAGTACTAAAAATTGAGTAAAAGAATAAAACGGAGACAATTTTCCTCTTCAAGGTTTCGTTAATGTATACATGCAAAAAATACATAGAAAATACGCACTTACTGCGAATTTTTCTTGTTGCGACCTTACAAGTTATTATTTTATCCATGTCAAATGCTGTTATTGAAATAATGGCTAACAGCAAACAACAGAAAAACACTTTCGCATTTGCATTTGTTTCCAATTTATAACAAGTGGTTAGTGCTGATTGTCATTCCCTAATTGCAGGACTTTCATATGTCCTTTGCTTCTATCATTCCTTAGAAGCGTTCCAAAGTTCGAGCCGTAATTAATTGGTTGTTTTCTATAATTAACAAGTATTGATTGATAGAGACAATAAATTACATTGACTGAAGTTGTTCAATCTACAATGATTGAGTGATTTTATTAAAAAAATGGTAGTATTTCATTCATTCAGTTATAACGTTTACATTACTATTTTTATTTACTGATATTTAGTAAAGTTTTAGACCAAAAAATTAGTTTTAAACTATAATAATATAATTTTAAACTTAACCTCAATAGAATCTAACCTATTTTATACTAAAATGTAACCAAAAATTAGCTTATACTACCTAAATATTAATGTAACTTAACTAATTTAATTTTATTCTGAATTAGGTAAAAGTATTTCAGTTGAAATTTCTTCCATTTACTATAATTATCAAGAATTCGTGCCGCAATGAGAGAAGATAATTCTTTGCAAGCAACAAGCGTTTACGTAACAAAACTTGAGAGCCGGCCGCATTTTCCATCTGGAAGTAAAGTTTACTACATCTATCGAACAACAACAAAAAAATAAGTGTTTCACTTTCATTTGACACACTTCTTTCTTCGGCGTACTTCCAAATCGCTCGAAGCTGTTGCGTAACCGCAACACCATCGTCGGCGTACTTGAACTTGAAATCTTCGGAGCGCGCGAAGCGATCTTGGCTCTACGTACACTTTCCTCCTCATCGGAGCACGGATTTCTGTGTTCCTTCGGCTTCGGGTTTTTCCCTCACGAATTCACTTTCATAACAATTGCAACATGATCGTAAGACCAAACATAGCGAGACGCGCCCACGTCTCATCCAATCTTTTACGTCGGATCAACAAAGTGGGTCAACAGCTGATCTACCTATGAACAATTTTGTTACATAATTGATTCGATGTAAAAATAGAATTTAACTTTAGTATTTTTACTTATTTCAGTATATATCCCGAAATCCCGACATTGTTAAAATCTAGACAACCATAATGTCGGGATTTTCATTGTCCGGATTTTCATCCGAACTGTTTAAGTATATATGTGACTATATAGTTTAGATATAAAAATAAGTTAATTCATCATCCAAGATGCAAAGATTTACCCTCATATATTGAATTCGTGTAATCAGTAAAAAAATTGCTAATAGAAATACCGATGTAATTAAATTAAGATTAATCTGTTAATGCCAGTAGTTATAATTTTAAATTATAATCTTAGTTGTAATTTGTACAATTATGATCATTGCGTGCGGAATTATTAACAATTTATAGTGGATATTAGCATTGCGAGTAATTGAATAGATTAGTGTCGATTGCATTTATGAATAACAAACGAGATTTCTATGCTAATCCACTATTATTATTAGATATTTAATAGTAATAATCGAAAATCAATGTGTAAACGTTTAGCTTCTTTTTACTAGTGACTTTTTTTTCGTTATAGTTTTATGTAATTTCGAAACTTTTGGATTATTTATCATTAATTATTTATTCTAAGTATATTTTCAATACTTTTGATTCATTTTATGAACATTTTTCTTCAAATTATACAAAAGTTAAGCAAGTGTACTTGAATGGGATTTAATTTATAAAATTAATAATGATTTGGAACAGAATGCAGCTAGACCATAAAACCATAAACAAATTCTTAAATTTTCATAATTTTTTATTGATTTCAAGCACTTTATAAACTTTTTGTAGAAATTGTTTTCAACACTTTTGATTCATTTTATAAACATTTTTATTCAAATTTTACAAAAGTTAAGCAAGTGTACTTGAATGGGATTTTATTTATAAAATTAATAATGATTTGGTACAGAATACAGCTAGTAAAACCATAAACAATTTCTTAAATTTTCATAATTTTTATTGATTTCAAGCAATTTATAGACTTTATTTTCCTTTTTTTTTCTTCTAAAGTTGGCTTTATTTTTGTAGAAATTGTTTTCAACACTTTTGATTCATTTTATGAACATTTTTATTCAAATTTTACAAAAGTTAAGCAAATGTACTTGAATGAGATTTAATTTATAAAATTAATAATGATTTGGAACAGAATGCAGCTAGACCATAAACAAATTCTTAAATTTTCATAATTTTTATTGATTTCAAGCAATTTATAGACTTTATTTTCCTTTTTTCTTCTTCTAAAGTTGGCTTTATTTTTGTAGAAATTGTTTTCAACACTTTTGATTCATTTTATAAACATTTTTATTCAAATTTTACAAAAGTTAAGCAAATGTACTTGAATGGGATTTAATTTATAAAATTAATAATGATTTGGAACAGAATGCAGCTAGTAAAACCATAAACAAATTCTTAAATTTTCATAATTTTTATTGATTTCAAGCACTTTATAAACTTTATTTTCCTTTTTTTTTTCTTCTAAAGTTGGCTTTATTTTTGTAGAAATTGTTTTCAACGCTTTTGATTTATTTTATAAACATTTTTATTCAAATTTTACAAAAGTTAAGCAAGTGTACTTGAATGGGATTTAATTTATAAAATTAATAATGATTTGGTACTGAATGCAGCTAGTAAAACCATAAACAAATTCTTAAATTTTCAGAATTTTTATTAATTTCAAGCAATTTATAGACTTTATTTTCCTTTTTTTCTTCTAAAGTTGGCTTTATTTTTGTAGAAATTGTTTTCAACACTTTCGATTCATTTTATGAACATTTTTATTCAAATTTTACAAAAGTTAAGCAAATGTACTTGAATGAGGTTTAATTTATAAAATTAATAATGATTAGGAACAAAATGCATCTAGTAAAACCATAAACAAATTCTTAAATTTTCATTGATTTCAAACACTTTATAAACTTTATTTTCCTTTTTTTCTTCTTCTTTAGTTGGCTTTATTTATGTGTACAGAAATTGTGCAAACGTCGTGAAACGGCTGGATTATGTCACAAAAATGGTCGTCATAATCATCGAATTTCGGAGAAAGTTACACTTGAATAGACACGTGGAAATCCGTTTGTAAAGTATCAAATTATGAACTTTGTTAACTGTAATCAATTCCAATTCAACTCATCACAATTAATAACAAATTAGTCAACTCAATCAAGCATTTTTTTAATTACATAATAGTTTCAATTTGCAAATACAAAAGTGGATTTAATTTAATTTAAAAATTTAATTAGTAAACATTTTTAATTCAATTTTATACAAAAAAAAGTATAAAAAAAATGCAATTTT